TGACTATTATTGGCCAAACATCCCAAATGATGAAAGATTTACCTGCAAATTAACCGATTTGTATTACAATTAACAACATCGCCGCCGACTGCAAAACCACTTGGTAGGACGTTCCTGACCTCCTGTATGCTAGGCGAGGTAGTCAACATCACGCCACCGTGATGGTGATAAGAGAGAGATGGAAACTCCAAATATACAGCAGCCAGGCAGCGTTAGGGTCGGGATCGAACCCGCGTCCTCTTGTGAGAGGGGCTGGGGGTGGAGGGGAGGGGCCGTGGTGGAGGGGAGGGGCCGTGGGTGGAGGGGAGGGGCCGTGGTGGAGGGGAGGGGCCGTGGGTGGAGGGGAGAGGGGCCGTAGTGGAGGGGAGGGGCTGTTGTGGAGGGGAGGGGCTGTGGGTGGATGGGAGGGGCCGTGGTGGAGGGGAGGGGCCGTGGTGGAGGGGCGTGGCCCTGGGTGGAGTAGAGGGGCCGTGGGTGGAGGAGAGGGGCCGTGGGTGGAGGGGAGTGGCTGGGGTTGGAGGGGAGGGGCCGTGGTGGAGGGGAGGGGCCGTGGTGGAGGGGAGGGGCCGTGGTGGAGGGGAGGGGCCGTGGTGGAGGGGAGGGGCTGGTGGTGGTGGATGAGGGGCGGTGCTGTGGGTGGGTGTGGAGGGGCGGGGCTCCAGGTGGAGTCGTCTTCCAGGCGATGGTGCAGGAGTCTGTCCTACTTGTTGGTACAGTAGGGGCTACAGCTGGGTACAGTAGGGGCTACAGCTGGGTGCATCACCCAGTGATCTCAGTCAGCCACCCCATGGCACCTGCTGGCTCTGTCCCGAGACCTCCTGCCGTCAGCGAGCAGCCTTCGACACCTCACGCGGCCTCAAAGTTTGGGCATGTTTGTTTTTGTTGTAGTACGGAGTTAGACTGATGGCCTTAATCTAAGTTTTCTTGTGGTTGTTGTTGTTTGACTTGCATCCCACTGGGATTTTTTGCACACAGCGTTGGTGTACGGTGCTTTTTTCAGGAATATTTTGCTGTGTTTTTTCCCCATGGATTTTCTGTTTGCACAGTCACACATAGTCACTTTAAGATGTTTTTCTTGTTCGTGTTTTTGTTTTTGTTTGTTTGTTGTGGTTGCACCCTATTCAAGGGCCGAATGGCTCACAGGGCTATACCAAAATAAGGAAACTGAAACGTGGCCTGGCACGGGCGACCGTGGTGACGGCACCGTCAGTCACTTGGTGGCGAATGTCGGGTGTTGGTGTCCCCCTCTGTCTGCGTCCCGACTTGTGTACACAAACGTGGTCGTCATCCGGGCGAGCCTTCCAACGCTCCCCACGCTTCACGCGGCTTCAAAGTGCCACCTAGCCTGGCACCAAAGCGCACTGGTGATGTAACCGCGGCGAAGGTCGGCTGGTGCCGCGCGTGTTTAAATGTTTCGTGTACAGTGGAGCGCACCTGTGTGTGGGTGTTTTATTTTAAACTTGGTGTGTTTTGCGTAAACACGTTAGAGGGGTTTTTCAGTTGCAGGGGGAGTGGTGCTGCATCTGGTTTCACATCGATCAATCCCGGCAATCGGATTTCGATTCCGGACCACGGCTATCCTCGGTGGCAAGGTGATATCAGAACGGGGGTTCTCGGCCTTCCCCCTGAGGTCGGCTCGGCCGTAAATGAGAACCCGAGGCGTTGTGTTAACTTCAGCACTGGGGGAGACAAAGGCGGCCGGGAGTGGTGCTGACCGCCCCCCTCGCGTGTCGTGCTGGCCTCCAACGTGAGCTCGCTAACAACACTTGCCCCAGCAGCTTTTTAAAGTCCGCATAACACCCCCCTCCCCCCCCGTGTGCAGAACGCCCGTGTATACAGTACGTACATTTACGTGTGTGGAATGTGTAATTGTGTTGTCGAGTCAACTTTTTTAACAGACAAAACAATATCGCTTTGATTTAGATGGCAGAGCTGCGAGTAGTACTGCATGTCCCAGTATCCAACCGACTGGCTCTCAACCCATGTCACAGATTCATTGCCCATGAGCCTCGGCGCGGTGTTCTTCATTGCAAGGCCCCCCCCCCATCATCCATAATATACGTTTTTTTGGGGGGGTTAGAGCGCGTCAATGTATAAATGTGTCGTTAAAACCCGACACCACCGACACGGCCAACTAGTATTGCCAATTCGACACAAGTACAGCACACTGGTGTGTTGGAGAGCCAAGCCACAACATTTACAATCTACGTGTTAAACTGACTCCCCCATCTTCTTGGTTCTTTCGGTAAAGTCACGTAGAAGGGAAACAATAAAATAATAAAAATATAAAACAATACAATTCTCACGACGTTTCGACTGCAACACAAGCAATCATCATCAGGTGTGATCATCAGGTGTGATTGCTTGTGTTGCAGTCGAAACGTCGTGAGAATGTTATTGTTCTATATTTTTATTGTTTCCCTTCTACGTGACTTTACCGAAAGAATCAAGAATATGAATCCCTGCAGTCACGAAAGCTTTAAATCAAAATTTGACCTCCCCCCCCCATCATTATCATCATCGTGCTGCTGTCGAACCCAACAATGGTTCGACATGTTGTGGTGGCCCTCACACCGATGATGTCTTATCGGCGAAAGCGGCCCCTCTCTGAAAATAAGTGAAGGACGCTGGCCCTAGACCACTGGTATTTGACCTTGTCGGTAACCGCCTGATGGGGCATAAATTTAATTTTGCGGTTCCAATATCGTGATGTAGCCAATAACGGTGAATGATGTGACAACCAAATTGAATTAGTTGGTTATCGGCTAATTCATTCATTGGCCATATAAATACACCAGTGCAAGTAAGGATTTGCTACCTTCGGTGGAACCAGTTTCTACCATGGACTGTCTCAGGTTGCTGGTGTCATAGCGCATCTTTGTCCTGGGATATACCGCATCTGTATATTACTATTTTCACACCTGTTTACCGAGGGGACCATCACGGAGTCCCATGACTCCTTCGACAGGAGGACCCTGTTGCAGCCGCGGCGATGATTGCTATTATGCGCGCGTGCGTGTAAAATCCCAAATTCGTAATTTGTCGTGTCATTTAGAAAATTTGGGCCATGACATCGGCACACGATGGCACTCGTTTTTGTGACTGACGGCATAGGATCTTTGACCATAATACAGGTTTTTTTTTGGGTTAGATCGCATAAATATATAAATGTGTCGTTAAACCCGCCACCACCCAACACAGCCAATTAGTAAGGTTAGTCATGTAATCTAACCCCCCCCAAAAAAACCTGTATTATGGATGATATTGGTCGCGAAAGTCTACGTGTTAAAGGGGCTTTGACGTCCACAGTGAAGCACATGGCTTGTATTTTTTTTTGGTTAATTCGGTATGACCCAGGGCGGCAGCTCAATCTGAACAAGCGGTGAACGCGCTACCGCCAGGCCTTGTCCACCGCCCATATATATTTTTTGTGAGACTCCTAAAAATAGGAAAAATAAATTAATCTAACTCACAGGAAGCTCGGCGTGGAATGGAATAATGGTTGTTAAAATGTTTTTTTTAGGGTTATCATTGTTAACTGCATGGACTCAAACCGGTAAAATAGGGTTACAGTCCTGATTTGCGACATAAAAGAGGTGTTTCAAAGGAAACGTCACGGTCTCTTTTTGACTGAGACACGAAAGGGAGCTGCCACACTGGTGTGGCAGCTCTCTTTCGTGTCGGCGGTTGAAACTGGCTTACGGTTCTTAAGCCAGTTCATTGCTAAGATTCCACTGGAAACGGGTTCCTGTCCTATTATTATTTAACAACCCAGAAAGCGATGCTCACGTTTGTTATTAGCTGTCTCCATGCTGCGCAGAAAATGTCACGGGCCAGGTAATCCCAGTTCTCGACTGTACTCCCGTACCTCCAGACGGAGACAGTTCGTGTCCAGTAACATTTTTACGCTTGTTAGATCTCTTTATACCGGCTTGAGCAGCAGAGGTTTAATTTCCCATGGAATATTGTCAAGGTCTCTGGTAGAGTGGAGCAGGCATGTGACTGCTAACCACGGCCATAGCGAGAGGTATTCTTGATGTCATGTGCCTCATGCGGAAATATTTTTCTTGGCTACTAACCCAGACAGATATGCCCAGAAATCAAGGATAAGGTCCCGCTTTTATAGGCCGCTTAATTTCCTCACAAACTCAAAGCAGCCATTATTCATCTCAACCATTTAAAAGCCCTGCTGCAGTCTATCTAAGGGGACCCCCTAGTGGCAGCTGTCCCTGTACGGCAACACGGGTGCATGACGCAGCACCGGGCCTGCAACTGAGGCTGCGATGATGCCCGGTACTTGTGTCACGTCCTTAGGAAGGAAGTGTAATTGTACCCCGGACTCGAGTGGATGTTCTTCCACGAACCGTCAGCGGGATGATTTCCTGTTTGAAGGTGACTTGTTTCACATGAAGGTGTCGGTCACGTCAATACGGGCGAGCATGCATAATGCATGAGCTTTCATCAGCACTGCACGGCGTTCCCATCAAGGTCTTGTAACAGTGGCTTAGAAAAAAACAGAACGAGAAAAAAAATAGGAAAGAATATCAACGTTACTTTTATACGTGAGTTGTGCCCTAATGGTGGCAAATTACTTTCATTCGTTGGATATGGTGAGAATACGGCAGTGATGCAATAAATGTGATGAGCGTGAAATTATAATAAATGTGGTTGATGTGACTAAATTACTGTGATTGTATAACTTTCATAGTGACGCTTCTGCTACTTGCTGCTTTTGATAATGATAAGACAATGCTACGTTTACATATTGGTGCTGCTACTGCGGCCGAGGATGAAGGTAATATTGCTGATATTGTTGCTGCTGATGATGAGGAATGCTGTACTGCTGCTGATATGCTACTGGTGCTGTTGATGGTGCCGATGACAGTGATGAAGGCAATGCTGCTTCCGGTGATTATTTTTACTCATTATTATTATTGCTATGACGCTGGCATGAACGTCGATTGATCACATGACATCGTCACATTGTCCGTGTCGAGCAGCAGGCCAGCGGGAGTCAAACCTCAATGCGGAATCTCAGGATGCGCACGTGAGCCAAAGGGACGGCGGCAGCGAGGACACGAACACAGACGGCGGGGCCGAAGCGGCAGCGGAGGGCATGGACACGGCCGGCGCCGTTCAGCCCGATGACAAATCCCTGATCACGGCCCAGGCCGACGGTGGCCCCACTCACTTGGCGCCAAGCGTCCGCAGACATGAAGACGGCGACTCGGAGCAATTGCAGGCGACCGACGGGGACCGTGGAAGGGCAACCGGAAGCGCTCCTTCGAAGGACAGGAAAGTATCGCACTCGGACGACTTCAACGGCTGCCTGGAACTAGACTCCCTCGTCATTTCAGAAGAAGACGATCCCCCGTGCGAGGGCAGCTCCGAGCAGCCAAGGGGGGACATCGATGGAGGACACGCTGAGGTCAGACGTGTTTCGGACACCCAGGGAGTTGGCGTGCAGTCTGTCTTAGGTGCGACGGGACCCCGGCCGACGGAGCTGACGGGACTGAGCATAGTGATGCCACTCGCCGCCAGAGAGGAGGCCGCAGGGGAAGAAGCGAGCGGACAGAGGAGGGTTGAGGACGAGTGCAGCGCTGCGGCAGAGGAGGATGGAGAGGTGCCCCTGGAGGACGAGGTGTTTGTGGAGCCTGGGCGTGTCTGCCCGGAGAGCCCCAACAAGGGTCCCACGGCAGAGGGGGGATTGGCCAGGTACGAGAGGCATCCGCGCCGGCGTATGGCATTTACTTATTTAGTTACGTACATATCCTTACTTCATCATTATCGCAGGACACGATCGATCGACTGCTGAATGAAGGCATCCCCCTGCCTTGTGGGTCGTCGGAGTTACTTGACGTTTGTTGTGTTGAACGTCTTTCGCACCGTACGTAGCCAACCGTGCTAATTGGAGGTGCGGGGAAGGACAGCAACACTGATCAGTGCGGCCGCCCGATACCAGTTCGAATATTACTGGTTGTCGAGGAATTAAACTCTGGTTGCCAGGCTCTTAGTGAAGTGCGCTAACCATTGTGCCACCACTCTGTTATGACCGCTATGCATATTGAAACGTTTGCCCGTTCTTGCAAATACATGTTATCACGTATTGTCACCTGGAGTGTTGGGGGAGGGGGGGGGTGGAATTTCAGAGAGCAATGTTTAAAAAAGATGACATCAGATAATAAATCCACCTCCCTGAGGTGGTAATCACAATCCACTGTGATGCGCTTTTCAGACGAGATAAGACAATGTAATTGTACTCTTTTGTTATTTCGGTAAAGTCACGTAGGTATATTTTATATTTTATACCTACGTGACTTTACCGAAAGAACCAAAGAGTATGGATTCCTGCAGTCACGAAAGCTTCAAATCAAAAATGTAATTGTACATCCGTTTGCCAGTCGCCTCCCCTCGCCGAGTAATTTGTGGGGTTGTTTGACCATACTTCACCACGCTGGTTAGTGTGGATTGATAAACGGAGGTGTCCAGGACTGGGAATCGCTAGCCACTGACTGATGATAGCCGTTGCCAGGAATGTAACTTGGGTCGTTGGGTTCGTCGAGCAGTGCGCGAACCACTGCACCACTGCTCCATCCCAGGGGGCCACGGTACAGGCAAGGAACAGATCTATACATCGATTCAATTGATTAAAATTGATACTTACGCTCGTGATACATTCATCTAATTGCATGCGTAACAATTAATTATTTACGGTTTATTTGTCGGTCGGTGGGTCTCATGTGGCAAGGTAAATGGAGGGTACTCTCACCTCTTCCAAGACATCTGACCAGCATGGAAGAGTACCACAAATTTTGTCGCTGAATTTGCAGCACTGCAATTGCAGATTAACTCGAAGCTAATGGATTGAACATAACTCTCCAAAAAAGAGAAGTTTACACTACAAATAAAACAAAAATTATCTCGAATAAAATCGCGACCCGGAAGTCACAGTTCATGGATCTCTAGGGACGTGGGCTTGATCATTGAATGCTAACTGTACACCACTTAACACCGCAACCTTCCCCTGCAGCCTCATGATGCGTGAGATCCGGCGCAGCGTGGAGTTGGTGCCAGGAGAGGGCGGCGGTGGCATTGGCGGCGGCGCCGGCATTGCCGGCGGCGGCAGCGGTGTCATTTGTGCCGAAGATCCCAGCACCGACACCTTCAGCCGCGACGCTGAGAGCATCCTAGAGGCTCACCACGAGCGCGGCATGTCCTACTCGAGCATGGACTCGCTCGACGTTCTCAGCTCGGCCGCCCCTCCATCCGGTGAGCCGGAAAGCGCCGCCGCCGACGACGACGACGAGCCCTGCTTCGATTTCTCCGAGGCGACGCTCACGCCGGGGGTTCGCGAGTGGATGATGGACGCTTCGGACACTTCACCAGTTCCTTCTCTGAACTTCGCCGGCAGCCCGAGCATCTCTTCTCCGTTGCGGGAGTTGTCCCCCCCGTCGGCGCCGCACGACGCGGGCCGCTCGCCCCAGCCGCGGAGTCGGAGCGACGAGCGGACGTCGCCGCTGGGTCCGCCTCGCGACGCCCGGCGAAGGACGGAGGGCGATAGCTCTGCGGACTCGGCGGTCTGGGAGCAGAAGGCCGCAGAGAGCCCGCCCGACGCGAGGAGCGGCGACTCCGATGTGACGCAGGCCGAAGAGGGTCTGACGGTCCCTGCAGTTCGTGATGCAGATCGTGACTCGGGCCAAAGAGACGCGGAAGGACAACGCTCATTGACCGCCGCCGACGGGAATTCCTCTTGCGAGCAGAGACGATCGAAATCTTCGTCGCCGGCTTGCGTGAGCCTTGCGAGCGTTCCCGACCGTGCCTTTGCCGGGCAGAAAGGGGCCTTAGAGGGAGGCCTGACCAGTGTTTTGAGCGCCGAGGTTATCTCCCAGCATCAATCGGCGGTTTCAAACAGCCGCTCGGAAAACGTGCTGAGCAGTCGCGCGACAGCGGACTTGGAGCGGGGAGAGATTTCGCCAGGATTACCGTTATCCGTGAGGTGAGCTCATTCTCAATTAACATGATTGTTTGATTTTTCTGGACCTGTGAATTGATGGTTTTGAATTCGTTAGATCTGATACAAGTTTTAATGATTAATTTTACTTTGGTTTTAATCTGAGTTAGCTGGTGATGTTAAGGCAAACTATGTATTAAATACATTTTAGAATGCCTTTTTACATAAATCAAGTCTTCATTGATTTGACCATTGAGGTCCCATGATTCACAAATGAAACATTAATGATTCATCTATAACCAGACAAGGCTCTATGAAGATGTAATATCACTTGCGAGGGTGTGAAAAAAGAGCCAATAATAGTCACAATGGCATTTTAAAATTAGCATTTGTAAAAAATTTCGACAATGGCCGGAACAATAACCATATTTCAAAGGTGGGTTCGTTTGAAGCTTATTGCTGGCGTGGGAGTGTGTGAATTGATGTGCAATTGAAAACGAACAATATATATGTGGCATATTTGACATAGGCGTATGTTGGGCATACAACGTCCTGTTTTTTCTCATCTTATATTTTAACCTCATCATTGCCAGCTACCTTAACCCGCAACGATCGTGCGGGTCTCACCGATGCCTTGGCTGTTAACTCTCTCCACTTTTTCCTGTCCTGAGTTGTCTTTGTCAGGTGTTGTATACCAGGCTTTCCGAGTCCATGAAATCACATTTTCTTAAGTTATGTTGCGTCCAAAAAAATATCTGCACAAAAAGGAAACCCGACGCTATTTAAATTACAGCGCAGCTTTTAGTCTGCCACCTTTCATCCTAGCCATGTCAACTTATTAAATGGACCATGTGTATGGCATTGTGAAGGTCAAACAAAACAGTGTGGCCCTCTGAAAGCTTAATCTATCTGGTGGATCGCGTGGCATGCCTCACCGGCCAGGGCGGCCAGGGCAGCCGCGGAGTGCGAGCAGCAAAAAGGGTGGGTGCGTGGCTGCGGGGGGAGGATTACAGCGTCTGGTGCAAACATGATGGGCCGGCTTAAGGGGGGCACAGCCGTTGAGGGGGGCACAGCCATTGTAGGTGTCGTGGGGTGTCCAAACAAACCACCCAACTTTTTTTAGATGTGTTTTTATTGTTCAGTCAGCATTTTTATCCCTTCAACAAGAGAAATGCTGATTCTGCCGATGGACCGGAACGTTTAAATTGACAGTAGCGCACGGACAGTTGGTTCAGTGCTGAGTCAGTGGCGAGTGGTTGCCTTGGGTTTAATGTGATTATGGTGCTGTAGAATGTCTCTTTTCTGTTTAACATGTAGACTTTCGCGACCAATATTCATAATAAAGATTTTTGGGTTAGATCACGTTATTTATAAATGTGTCGTAACCCTCCACCACCCGACACGGCCAAACAGTAAAAAATGTGTCACATTTACAAAGGCCAAATAGTTCACTACTTTAGCCCACCGGTGTGTTGAAGAGTGAATCAACATCACTTAAAGTTTGAGTACGTCGTTTCGCTGGTAATTACATCCAGCATCATCGGGCAATTCGCCAGAATGGTAAAGCCCTCACTTGCTCCCGGTCTTAAATAGAGCAGCAGGGTGACGTCATCATTTAACTCATTCAGGTGCAGTGATTTGAGGGGGGGGGGTATTGTAATTATATAATCGATTGGTAATCAGTCAATGGTTATGATTAGTAATGAGTTGTAATTAGTAATTAGTTGTAATGTGTGTTATTGTGATTATATGCTACGTTAGTAATCCGTTAATCAGTATGTGTTTCCCCTATAAGGAATTGTATGTATTATTTAAAAATACGACACATTTATAAATAACGCGATCTAACCCAAAAACCTTTATTACGTCTCTTTTCTGTTGCCGAATGAGGTGACGAACTTTTTCAGATCTCGTGTGGAATCTGACCAATAAACAACGGGAACCGTTCACTGCTAGGAAACCCTCAACTTCCACAGTACACCTGGGAAGCAAGCAATGGGTGCCATGGGGCTTTGTGATAAACGCCTGCCCCCAATGAAGCGATCGCTGATTCGAGTATTTTGAAATAATATGAGCGTGCATATTGCGGAGGATTACTGTTGGTCTCCCTGATTAACACCGCGGGCGTAACAACCATGTTAATACCCGCCGTCTGCTTCACATTGGATGTTAAAAGATCCCCTGGCGTCATTCGCAAGAGTAAGCCGTCGTGTGCCGGCGTCGGGGTCCAAATTTGCCAAATTTGAAAATGACACCGCTAATGACAGGGACTTCTCTACCTATGAATATTCGACTTACGAACTTTCAGAGATAAGGAACAAACTCGTCCATATGTCTGGTTGCCTGTTTGGACCGAGAGTCGTAAGTTCAACCGCCGCGCAATCGATGGCGGTGGTGGCATCTGCATCTGCAGAACATGAAGAACCAGTGACATCTACATCTACGGGACAGTATACAACTTTTAAACCATTCCCCGCGTTTAGTGTACATGCCGTAACAGCACGTTTGGAATCGACAGACGTAAAGTTGGACTTACGAACAAATCGATTTGCGAACAGACCTCTGGAATCTAACTCGTTCGCAAGTAGAGGAGTCCCTGTATTCAATTGGGGTTATACATAGCAATGATTGTCCCTCCACCCGCCTCCTGGCAGAGTCATTTCCTTGGCCACTCTTGCGAATGAGATTGTCCTTGGTCTCTTTAGTGTTCTTCACCTGCTTAAATAAAATACACTTGGTGGGTGTCGTCCGGTCCACACTTCGCTTCTGTTGAACCAATGTCGGTGAGCAAACATCCACTCACAGAAATGCCACGTGGCTGATGGGATGTGTAGAGATTTTTTCTAATATATAATTATATGTATAATTATATAGTATATATACATTTTAAAAATAAACACTTTATATATTTTACAGGTATGGAAGGCGAAATCGTCGTTCCACACGTGACCTTTGACGCTACTCGCTGCTGATCTCCGCTAGATGGCCCTGTACTCCCCTCTTGCTGCTTTCGCCAGCAGTGTGGTTTTCCGTCAAACAATTTTTTTTTTAAACTACATACCCCGAATACAGAGCAGCGTGTGACCCATTTACAGAGCAGACTGCCTCTTAAAAATGTAAAGAATGAACCAGCCCAGCTGTTATAATTACCACATTAAATGTCCCCTAATGGTTCTTCGTGAGAAAATGTAAAGCCAGAATTAATTTGATGAATTACTCGAGCGATGTCGAGTTGAACATCATACCCCTCCACAAAGGCGATGTCTGCACACGCAGTTGCAGCAGCAGCCCCCCTTCCGTCCTTTTGATTTGCTCATAAATTTTACATGGGAGCAAAAACCTATTTTTAAACACGCCCAATCTCCATCGCTCTGCAGTATTTATGAACGTGCCCGATGCTTTGCTCGTCATAGAAAGTTTATAAGCTGCTTTCCGTTTGTTTAGATGCACGTTAAAGATTTATTATAAACACGTGCGCACACAGACGCCTTGTATTGCGTACTCTACTTTCTAGAATGTATCTCTTTTTGTCCCGTGCTTTAATGGCCCTTGTTTGTGTGTGTGCTACAAAGAAGGGGGCATTACCCGAAATGTCACCTATATTATATATATTTTGTCATTTTCAAGCTACGCATTGTTATTGATGAATGTGTTGAGTTTCTTTTGCTAATCGTGCTTGGGCATCAGTGGCGATGCATCACCACCAAATAACTTGTTTAGAAAAAATAATCTTTACCACCGAGAATTGTCTTGACCTTTCTCCTTGTTGCTATCAGCGATGACATTGCTAAATATATATTCAGGACAAGAGCTGGGCTTGCAGATCTTGGCAACTGTAACTTAAAAATATTTCTAAATCAGCATTTAGTTTAAAAAAAGGGGGCAAACGGTGTAATTAGTTCTGACAGCAGGTTGATAAAATGCAAACGCGATTGGAGGTGCTATTTTTTTAAAATTAAAGGTAGGTATCCTCAATTACAACCAGGTGATAACCCTTGGGAGCCTCCGACCATATGTTTCAATTGCACAGCATGAAAAGTACACGTAGAATATTATAATTAAGAGGGGGGGGGGAGGGAAGGATGGGTTGACAGGGGTTTGAATTGACGCATTGGTTAGCACATGCTGCGTTATGAACTCGGCGACCTCAATTCAATTCCCAACCATGGATTCTGACATCGGTGGCGAGTGATGATAATTGAACTGACCAGTGTGGTGAACCTCCCATCGAGCATCTCGGTCAAACAATCCCACTGACCAACAACGCCATCACTCAGCAGCAGAATTGACAAAAAGGGGGCAGTGATCATTTAGTCACCGTAATTGGGCACAAATTAAAGCCAACCAACCTTTTGACCACGGAGTTAACGTACTTCTACGTACGATAAACTGATTGTGTGATGTGGAACAGCGGTTTATAAGAAAACAATGTTTGCACGCAATAAATTATTGCAAGCAGAATTTGAACAACGGCAATAATATTGTTGTTTCTTTCAAGAAACAATACAATTGTTTTATATTTTTATTATTTTATTGTTTCCCTTCTACGTGACTTTACCGAAAAGAACCAAGAATATGAATTCCTGCAGTCACGAAAGCTTTAAATCAAAACAGCAATAATGTTACCGCCACGTGTCACACGCCGCAAAAATCTGCCAAAACTCAACCCCTACCCCCCTCTCTGTACGCACGCGAACTTCCTACACCCCCCCCCACCTACGTATGTACGCTTGACCCCCCCCTCCCTCACAGATATTTAGTCCACGCAGAAACGATCAAGAATGAATAATATTAACGTGTTTAAGCAAACAGATAGTCCACCGCCAGACTAACTCATTTGAAGGCCAATGTACTATCTAACTCATTTGAAGGCCAATGTAGACAAATTATTATCGAAGCTTCACCCCCCCCCCCCCCCCCCGTTTCCTATGCGTACATTGTCAGTATACCCCCCCCCCCCATTCGCAAGCGAACGCACTTGGGTTAACCCCCCCCCCCTCACCCCCTCCCTCCATGCGTACGTACTAAATGGATGGCCCCTAACC